TTCTCCCTCATTCACCTCATGAGGACACAATAAGAATGCAATGTCTCTAATCAAGAAGAGAGCCTCACCAGAATCCAACCATCCCGAATAGAAAATTACAGATGTATTAACTCTTTGATCCAGCAATTCCACCTGCAAAATACTACTGACATTTATAGCTGCCGCAGTACAAGATGCTAAATATACAAGTTTGTTATATGTAATAATAAAACTTCAGGTCTATGGTAATGGGGAACTGGTTGAATAAATAAATGGCAGTGAATTCTGATATGCTCCAAAAAGTGTTTGTAAAGGTTTTGCCCTTGTTGATGTGGAGAAGTCACAAGAAGACACAGCTAGGTGAATAAGACAAACAAGAAAATCAAAGGGAAAAAAAGAAAATCAAAGGATACATGAAGAAAGAAGGGAATAAAGTCAGGACAAAGGCCCACACACACTTACATATATAACTGTTTCTTACGTGTGTGTGTGTGTGTGTGTGTGTGTGAAAACCTAGTAAAAGATGTTAACACGCAGGAAAAGGCAATGTAGATTAGGAAAAGGTGTCAAAAATAAGGTTCTCAGTGAATATTTTTTCATTTAATTTTGATATTGAACTGATACAACTTAATTAAAAATTACAACTAAAACTATCCTAGATCTGAAAAACAAATCCAGCACACACCTATCAAATTGGTAATATGTTCACACAGATACACACTGGATTCTTGAAAAATCTCTGAGCGTGTGAATCTCGAAAGGAGAGAGCCTGAGGGCTGTGCAGGTGGCTCATTGACACCTGCAGCCAAACCTGATGGAATATGTTTGACCCCGGGTACCCACAGGGTGGAAGAAAAGAACTATCTCCCACAAGTGGTCCTCTGATTTCCACACCGATGCTATGGCACACGCCCCCACCCCCTCATAAGTAAATGAAGAGATCCGGTGAGACAGAAAAAATTATCAATTGTCATCACTAAAACGATTAACAAATTTCTAATCAATATCAGCTCAGACAAGATTGTGAGATGGGAGTGACCATTAGAAGAATGAATGAACTCTGACATCTGCAAGGCAGTCAAGTAGTGCCCCTCAGAGAACAGGTTGCTTACACGGGAGGTAACCTCAGCGGGCAGCAGGAAACATGGAAGGTCATTCTTAACCCCAGACAGAGAGGTCCAGAATACAGCCATCATCGAGAAAACTCCTGCAGAGCTCAGTCCTGTCCAACCCCACTATTCCCAGGCAAATTGCTGTTGAGATGGCTGTAACCTGGTATGAGGTTTTAAAACCGCTGCCGGTGGAGTCACACAGAGTGCTCTTCAGCCACGGTGGCACTGTGTGGCAAGTGGCTCCTTTCAAAATGCCAAACAAAACGCACCTGCACCCGAGATGTATTCTAGAATGTACGTACTTGGTTATTACCCAGGCTCTTGGACCTAACTTTCAATTTACAGAAGATATGTGAGAGGAAATCAAGCAGAGGCGGACAATATGGAGAAGCAATCAGACAGATACTGAGCCGGAAAATGTATGCACTGTTTTAGATATTAAAATACCTAAGCAATGTATAATGCATAATGCATATTCCTGAACTGGCTCCTGATTCCCAGGGAAATCTGAGTATGGTCTGAGTATTACATATGACGAAATTTATCACCAGAGAAGACGACTACTGAAAGAAATCAGGCAGAGCTAGGATCTGGATGTTGATATTCTGCCAAGTCATTACCAACAGCGCAGTGTGGGGGCGCGGTGAAACCTTAGGAGCCAGTTGGATCCCAAGAATTCCGTCCTCACAGAGGGATCCACGAACTTCGTGTGAATGTGAGTTAATTGTTATGGGAATGGATTATTAAGCAAGCATTTTGGCTTTCTGCTGCTTCGTCTCTTACTGGCAGTCTCTTCCACGCATGCCCACAGGCCCCTTGCTTTTCCCCACACATGGGCAACACATGCCCCTCACTGGAAGCTGAGAGGATGCCGGCACCGGGGGCTTGTACCTCCAGGGCTGGAGGTCAGAATTAGCCCCTTCTAGATTATGCAGCTTTCATTATTACCTCCGAGCAATGGAAAACAGACACGGGCAGGAAGTTTACAGCATTGTGGCCTTAACTTTACTTCTAAAGAAAGATCACAGGAGTGGAGAGACTGGGCAATTAAGAGCTCTTGCTTCTCTTAAAGAGGATTTGAGGCAGTTCCCGGCACCCACATTGGAAGAGTCACAGCCGCCTGTATGTAACTCCAGCTTCAGTGGTAACCCATTCCTCTGGCCTCTGTGAGCAGCTGCATTCAAGTGGGCACACAGATAATTTTAAAAATAATACAAATAAATCTATTTTTTTTTAAAAAAATGGTCACCTATGTATGAAAAGATATAGAAACATAATTTCAGTAGTTCTTCTCTCTATTTAGGTGACGTGAAAGATTTTAAAATTATTTTTCATTTATTCTTTGCTTATTTCATACAACGCTTTGATTATATTCTTCCATCATTACCTCCTTCCAGCCCCTCCTAAAATCCCCCACCCCAACTCCTCCCAACTTCCATTTTCCATTTTTTTTATTGATAATCCCCAGAGACCAAGTGCTGCCCATATGTGCATGGGTCTGAGGCCGTTCACTGAGGTATGGGCAACCTACTTGCAGCCATGTCCCCCAAAACAGTGACCACCCTTGCCTTCCCTCTTAGCAACCATCTGCTGCCCTCCTCTCCATGGGTGTGGCCTCAAGCCCCACCCCACCCTTCACATAGGAATTCTGACCAGCTTGTTCTCACCCAGGTCTTTGCAGATGATCACAGCTACTGAGTTAGTGTGTGCAGCAGCTACATCATGTCTAGATCTCAGCGTTTCCCAGGCCGTCCTCTGTCAGCTCTGGCGCTGTTTCTAAGCACTCTTCTGCAATGTTTCTTGGGCCTTGAGTTGGGGAGGTTGATATAGGTGGTTAATTCACAACTGAGCACTTATGGACATTTATACTTGACCCTTTGACAAGTCTCTACATGAACCATTTATTCACTGGGAAAGGAGACATTTCTGATCAAAGTCGAGGGTGGCATACGTCCTATATGTACAAACAGAAGTAGTCAGAAGGCAGATTGACGGCACAACTAAGGTTCCCCCTACAGTGTTAGGCACCAAACCCTTCCTGTGAAGAGAACTCTGATGGTCTCAGACGTGGTTGACTATCCCCAAAGCTGATATTCCTCCACTGAGCACCAAGGGGTATATCAGCTAACATATCGGTATTGGAGCACGCAGGCTCCTGCATCAGATAAGACCATTGGTGTCTGGCATTGTGTGAGCCAGCCGACAGTAAGATGGTTTTCTGATCACCCAAGTTGATTTCTCTCTGTTCTCCATCCATGAGAGTAAGGCCTACAGCAATAGGGTCTTCCCATCTAGGCATGGTGTGGAACCATGAGCAATTACGATAGCTTGTATTGCTTTGGGTAATCCTGGCACCTCTTGACCAGTAACTCCTAGGGAGATAGCTAACTCACAACACTCAGGCTTTTGTTTACTTACACCTGTCTTCTGGGAGCAGTATTCTCTGCACATGCAAAGTACTTGTGTGTGTGTGTGTGTGTGTGTGTGTGTGTGCGCACGCGCGCGCGTGCCTGTGTATGTGTTTTTAAGACAGAAAAGTTTCTTTGTGGGCTGGAGAGATGGCTCAGCGGTTAAGAGCACTAATTGCTCTTCCAGAGGACCCGGGTTCAACTCCCAGCACCCATATGGCAGCTCACACTTGTCTGTAACTCTAGTTCCAGGGGAACCCAACACCCTCACACAGACATACACACAGGCAAAACACCAATAAACATAAAATAAAAATAATAAATTATTTTTTTATTTTAAAAACAAGCAGTTTATTAGAAGTATGTTTCATAAAGAGCACAAATTTAGTTAAACTATAAAATGCTACTTCATGGGATGTCAGCATAGTAGTGTTCTATTGCTGGTGTCTCATGCTAACCATGAAGTATTTCTGTATTACACATGCAAAAGTAAGGCCTGGAGGTTAACTTAACCTGCTCTAGAACTCATCAATCAGTGGCAGAACCATGACCCAGTCTTAGGTCTGAGCTTTTGTGCTTTCTACTCAGTACCAAAAGTGACAACCTCAAAAATAAAAACCCTGACAATGTCACTTATCTTTCCTCTTAATGAAAAGTCAACTACCAGCCACTTTTCAGTGGTATTTTGGTTTCTTTTACTATCAGGATCACAGTATAGCAGGGCGAAATAGTATGTTCTTGATAATCATAACACAAAGTCAGACTGGGAAGAACTGAGTCTGTCCCTGAGAGTGTGATTCATTTTGGAATTGATTCATCTGGTTTCAGGGAAAATAAAATTCATTAATAGAATTAGAAATGAACAAGGAAGCTGGGCGGTGGTGGCACACACCTCTAATCCCAGCACTTGGGAGGCAGAGATAGGCTAATCTCTGAGTTGGAGGCCAGCCTGGTCTACAAGAGCTAGTTCCAGGACAGGCTCCAAAGCTACAGAGAAACCCTGTCTCAAAAAACAAGAAAAAATAGGGCTGGGGGTATGGCTCAGTGGTAGAGCACTTGCCTAGTATATGCAAGGCCTTCAGTTCAATCCCCAACTGGGCAAAAAGAAAAAAACAAACAAAAACATTTAGATGGCTGTTGCTCTGAATCTCTTTGAAAGCATCACTGGCAATGTGACTACTTCCTAATTCTTACCATTTGATAGACAGGACAACTGAACAAATAATTTCAAACGCAAGCCCATTTCAGGTAATATAAAGCAATGGAACTAGAAAACCAATTACTATCCAGTTACTGTTATGTTTGGGTTATACTCAATGTCGCTGTAGACCCTGACCAGCAGGGCAATTAGGCAGAAAACCCTACATTACTTAGTCATCATCTGTGGATCCTACCATGAAGGGAAAAGGTTTGTTCTTATACCCATTTCCTCACTAAGTAAATTAGATACCTGTAGGGCCCAACTATAGAAGAATCAAAGCACCAAAGCTAAAGTCAGGATACCTCCTGTATAAATAGCAAGTTTTCCTTGTCAAACTATTCTATCTAGCACTACTTCAGTCCTTTCTTCATCCCAGACCCTTGATTCCCCCCAAATTTAACATTCCAATTGGTGTACCCAGATCATTACTGGTATCAGCTTTCTGGGTTCTTTAATTTGCTGTATAGATATTCTACCCTAAGTGATTAATTGCAAAAAATAATCTCTTCAAGAAACCTTAACAAAATACCAGATTCCCTATTAACAACAAAAGGGGATGGAGATTAACAATCTGAAATAGGAAAAAAGGTATCTGTGGTAGGACAACTCTGACCTCTGACTCCTGTGCTGAAGGAGTCACTAGCAAACCCCACTGTTAAGAGTTGCAGACAACCAGAGTCTGTGGGAGCAGGATGGCTGCTTTCCCACTTAGTCATCTTCTGAGCTTTCAGCAGACCTTGCATCTGTAGCCACTTTCCAATTCCTGCGCTTGCTCGTCCTCTCCGGTACTTCAGGGCTAACCACAGGAACATGAGCTCTTTTCTCTTTCTTTTTCCTTTTGGTTTTCTTAGTGTCTCTTTCCTCGATTTCCTCAGAACTGCTAGCTGCTGAATCATCTGACTGGGAAGTAGCCCTTTCTCCCCCTAAAGGTAAAGATTTTTTAGGAGACTTTTTCCTGGATTTTTTCTTGCTCTTGTGTGGTTGCTTCCTTTTCCTGGTACTAGAAGCTCCAGTTTCTTCTGAGAATTCACATGAGGAATCTGCTGCTGTGTCCATAGCTTCCTTTTTGTTTTTCTTCTGTTTTTTGTGGGACCGTTTTTTCTGCTTCTTTTTATGGGATTTCTTTGACTTTTTATGTTTGTGGGATTCGTGGGCAGATGCTTTAATCTGGGGAGATGTTTTTTTCCCGTTGGTAATGTCCTGCTGGTCACTACTGTCTGTTTCAAACTCTTCAGGATACAGCTCTTTATAACCACTGTGACCCCATCTGTCTGGCATGTTGGATTCATACTCATATAACTTCTTGTTCCAGGATTTAGCCTTAAGAAAATCATCTTCCAGGGCCCCAGAAATTTCATTTTTTGGCTTCCAGTAGTCTCTCTGACTTTCTTCATCAAAACCATCACTTCTCATCCGACTTGAGCTGCTGGGTACCATGTTCCTTCTGGTCCCCTGGTAAGCATCCTCCATTTGCTTCTCTAGTTCTCTGATTTTCCACATGTCAGATTCCTCCTGAATCTTATTGTGAGCATCTGTATGCCGGATGACATTCCTCAGGAGGACTTTCCCCAATGGAACCCGTGACATTCTTTAATCGTGCGCCTCAGCCTCGCATGGCGGGGTGGGAGAAAAGGCGGCGGCTTCCTTCCGGGCCGGAAGTCGTGCTCCAATAAATTATTTTTTTAAAAAAGTTTCTTTGTGTATCTCTGATTATCCTGGAACCTACACTATAGACCAGGCTGGCCTCAAATTCGGAGATTCACCTGCCTCTGCCTCCCAAGTGCTGGGATTAAAGGCGTGCGCCACCACTGCCAGGGCATATATTATATTTTTAATTAGATTACGAACTACCAGACTTCTCGAAGGCTTCTTCATACATCCTTAATTTAGGTTAAGCACCCCACTCCCCTGTCTCCCCACAACCATTCCCATTTAGATTTTTAAGCCTATGTAAGGCTTATTTTTTTCATAAAGTACAGATGTTAATAGTTTCCTGTTGCTGTCATAACAAACTACTAAATATCTTGGTGGCTAAAGCAATGCACATTTTTTTATCTTACAATCTCTAGATCAGAAGTCGTGCTGGCTAGTTTTATTTCAACTTCATACAAGCCAGATTTATTTGGAAAGAGGGAAGTTCCACTGAGAAAATTCCTAACCCGAGTGGCCTATATGTAAGCCTGAGTTGCATTTTCTTGATTGGTGACGGATAAGGAAGGGCCTAGTTCACTGTGGCCAGCTCTGCCCTTGAGCTGGTGATCCTAAAAGCTGTAGGAAGGCAAGCTGGACAAGCCACGAGGAGCACGTCAGAAAACAGCACTCTTCCACGCCTTCTGTATTAGTTCCCAACTCCAGCTTCTTGCCTAGGCTGTGTCCCTGCCCTGACTTCATTCTGTGCTGGACCCTGGAAACACAGTAAAATAAACCCTGTCTTTCACAAGTTGCTTTGGATCGTGGTATTTATTCCCAGCAAAAGAAACACCAGTCCAGACAGAAGTTGAACATGAGTCTGGTTGAATTTGATTCAGCGTATGGGCAGAGATGCTGTCTCAAATCATAAATGCATTTTCCTGCCATTCCAGCTCCTTGCTGCCGCCTGCTTTCCTGGCCCAGGGCCCTTGCCTTGCTCCTTCTCACAGCCAGCAATGGCTGATCTACATGACAGCGCTCAGAGATTTCTGCCAGTCTCTTCCCCATTCAGACCCACCCTGATACTCTAGGATTCTCTCCCTGTACTGAAGCCAACTGACCAATAGCCTTAGGGACACTGACCTTTCCCCCCTCTCTCCATGTGGTGGAGTTTTACATATCTTTAAGCTTGAGGTATAGGTATTAATTGTAAACTTCTCCCATGAGAGGGATACAGTATTTTATATTGTTGCTGCTAATGTGTAGTTTCTGAATTCCTACAATACACATGCACTGTTTCCACAATGACAAAAGGCTAGTAGAAATGAATATAGTAAGTGGTGCTATTGTGTAGTTCATGAATATGCACCACCAGTAGGAATGAAGAAAATGCTGAGTTCTTTGTGGGAACAGATGCTGACGGGTTTGAAATTTCCACTGTAAGAATTGTATTTCAAAACACTGTAGTTCAAACAATATCTTTGAAAAGGCAGATAAATTACTCTGGAAAATATTATGTATCAAAACTGGCCATAGGAGCTGAAGGGACGACTCAGTGACTCACAGCCCTTGCCCCTTTCCAAAGGACTGGAGTTCAGACTCTGGCCAGCCCCACATTCCTGCTGTGACTTATAAGCAAGCTCTGGAGACCTCTTAAGTATGGTTTGGGGGGCTCCACCAGTCCCTGACAGTGGAGATGGGAGAGACCTGGCTCTGGGATTCTCTACCTGAAATTCTGGTTGAATTCTGAGCTCAGATTCCAAGTTGTCTCAGATCATGAAAGTGAGCAAGGTAGCTGAGTTCCAGCGTCCAGAGCAAGCGGCTCAAAACCACATGTTTTTCCAGTCTCCTTCCATCTTCCAAGGGTAGCCCCTCCAAAACCCTGTGCCCACCCACCCCACCCCATCTCATGTACAACCACTCGCGTGCGGGCGTGTGTGCGCACATGCACACACACTATCCCCACTCCTCCCAACACAAAAATAAATAATAAATTTTGAGTGATTCCAAAACTCACGACAAGGACACTTGGGTTGAAGCTTCCTAAGAGGCGTAGTCAGAGGAATCTCCTTGAACTGCTAGTTTATGTGACAACCTTGTCACTGCCTAGCTGGACGACCTTGTACCCATTGCCCGATCTTTCTCCGCTTCAGGTGCATTATCGAGGACCAGAGGAATACATACACTTTCCTGGATGGGCTGTTGGCGATTTAGTGATCGAGCACTTCCAGAGGGCTCAGAGCTGCACCTGGCACAGGATCGACACTGCAAGGCCAGTCATTAATGCTTGGGATTCTGGCAGATGTTTGTAGCCACCTGTTTGGGGATGGAGCATGACCGGGATTTTTGTTAAGCTATTACCTCAAGGAAAAATGGAAGTCACACACTGATCGCCTTTTCACCTGAGCATCCTTGAGTAGTTATCTTGAAGGTTTTGCCATTGATGTTGTTCCAAATGGCAGCATTCCCAGGAAACACCTCCTCAGTACTAGCAAGGCGGCTAAGCACTGCTTTGAAGAGTCAACAGTTACTTAGCCAGAATCTCCAGCACGCTAAGCGATATGCTCCTCTGTGTGGGTCTAACACCTGTATCCTGGTGGAAGGAAGCGTCTGGTAATTTGTTAAATTGGCAGCTTAAAGGCAAAGTTTTCCAGGACTGTGAGAGACGGGTGCCATGTTCCATATATACTACCCTCATCTTTGTAGCATATTAGACCATCTGATTCCATGAGTGAAGACCAGCCAAGCACAGTGTGCAATATTGTGGTCCACTGTCTAGCATGCAGCCTTTTAAATAACAAGGTTCCCTAAAGCGGTGTGTGAACTGAACAGTGCCCCAGTGAAGAAATGCAGCTCACTGCGTATGTTTACAGCTGGAAGGAGAAAAACACTGCAGAACATGTCCCCCAGTGTCTCTCGAGGCCCACCCACAGCCTCACCGGACACCCCTAAGACATTTCTAAACTTTTGCAGGTTTTCTTAAGACCGGAATGGTCTACTGTCCTCTGGGAACCCCAAGACAGAGACAGCGGTGAGGAGGAGCCGAGCACAGGACCTCCGCCTTGCCCTGTACAATCTTCTCATATCCCACAGGCCATAGAGATGACAAGAACCCTCTGGAAAACACTACTGCGCCACCACTGCATCACGGCCCGTGGCAGGAAACCTGTGTCCAGTGTGGCCAAAGGAGCTAGAAGGTCAACTATGTAATGGCACAGAAAGCCTGGCATCCAGGCCTGTCTGACCAGATTTCCAGCAAGAATGTGGTTGTTGAAATCTGTGTACGTAGGACCCAGGCAACCTGGAGGAGAAACAAACAATGCAAGACAGAAACCGACCTGCAGGGGAAGAAAGAAGAAGCAAAGAATGTGATTTCCTCTTCGCTGTGATGTGGTTGGGTCCCTCCCAAGACTCAGTTTTCATTTTGGCTATGTGGGGCCAGAGCTTTGCTCCCCTCTGGAGGGCACAGCATTCAAAGTTTCTTCTTGGCCAGGGGGACCAGGTCCTCACCGTAGTCTTTTGCTTTTCCATATCTACAATCAGCAAATTTCTGTCCCTCATAAACTCCCCAATCCCTGCCATTTTGTTAGAGTGTCACAGACAGACAAAGTAGGCTTTCAGTTCAATCTAACCTCTGCTAAAGATCAACCACTTAAGATCCTGCGTGGTTCCTAAAGCAACACCAAAGCACCAAGGGCGGGCCTCCGTCTTAGCCTCAAGGGTCTCCCTGTATTTTCATGGAGAAGCCCCTCGGGTTGAAATGTTGGTTGCTGTGCTGTTTTCCGAGGTCTGTGTTCTCAGCACTTTCACATATATTTCCCCAGCTCTCACACTGGGCAGGTATGATTTGTCCTTTCTACGGATGAGAAAATGAGCCCTGGATGGCGAATGCAGTTCAAGGGCGGAGGTAATGCAGCTACATGTCATCTTCTTGTCACTTGGATTTGTCACACGGATGGTTTATGACAAGCATTTTGCTTTTTATGTCGTTCATGAAAGCTTTGGGGTTATTTACTCTGTATCCAGTAAACTGACTGACTAGCCAAGGTTACCTCCATTACCAAGATTGATTTTGTAGGTTCACCAGAAGGACTGTTTGTAACCGGGAAGGACCAGGCAGGGTAATAGGGAACACTAGAATGTAGATGACATCTTATTTTTACTGAAGATTTTTAACTTGTATAAAATTTTTATTGCAGATAAAAAACGGAGTTGAAAATCTGTACTCTCCCCAACCAAGGAAATGCAGTGGCCAGAAAGTTCTTTCTCCCCAAATTTCTAATGCCATATGTACTATAAAAATTAACAATTTATGAGCTGGGTATGGTGGTGCACGCCTTTAATCCCAGCACTGGGGAGGCAGAGGCTGGTGTGCCTCTGTGAGTTTGAGATTAGCCTGAAATACATGGTGAGTAACAGCCATAATAAATAAACAACAATTTAAGATTTTGAAATTTCTTTGATTCCAAATATCTAAGTGATAAGATCTTTCCCTCCACTCTACAGATCACTGTGTTAATGAAGAAGGTGCTAAGAGCATTGATATTTGAGGTGGTGGCGCCATTGTATTTTGAACTGAATTGGGAATGAAGGGGAACCCAGGGAAGTGTCTTCATGGCTCTATTAGCATTCTACCAACAGAAACATTTCCTCTTCTTGCTGTGTGGGCTCCAGGGCTGTGGCAGGGGGCTTTGATCTCATGTCCCATCCAGCATATGGTGTTACTAAGCGTAGTCAAAGTGCAAACCTTCACAGAAAATTACAGAGCCTCCGAGAAGGGATGGAGGCGTTCTCCCTTTCATTTCCTTTCCTGCCGTGTTCCTGGTCTTTTGATGCAATCTGCAAGCACTTCTTGGGTATTTACAATATATGCAGTCCATTACTTAACAGTGCAGGATTATTTTCACTACTGAGATTGGCAGGCTGCTTCTTGCCAGGATAGAACCGGAGTGTTCTTC